GATCAAATTATTTTGGATCAATAACAGCTTGGTGAATATTCAGTGAGTGATATTATCGTCAATACTTTGATATAAGATTGAGAGACTAGATGAAGTGTTAATAACTAAGCAATTAATTGTTAGTTTTTTAAAAACAAGGTTTTAAAATAGATATTTATTTAAAATCTGTAAATGTCTTACCCAATATTTTCTTCTAAGTGATTTTCTTAAAGTTTAATTTTATCTTTTTGATTGAATTTCCTCTGAACTTGTGAATATAATAATAATAATATACAAATTTAGTTTTCACTGTTATATAAAAATCTAATTTTTAATGTAGAAAAATTATACATTTGTGAGAAATTTTAATATTTATTTTATCAAAACTTCAAAACTGCCTTTCTTTTTTTTTTTTTTTTTTTGCTGGGTATGGTGTTGCATGCCTGTAATCCCAGTGGCTCAGGAGGCTGAGGCAGGAGGATCATAAATTCAAAGCCAGCCTCAGTAATTTAGCAAGGCCCCAAGCAACTTAGTGAGACTCTATTTTAAAAAACGGATTAAGGATGTTCTCAGTGGTTAAGCACTACTGAGTTCAATCCCTGATACCAAAAAAAAAAAAAAAAAAGAAAGAAAGACTGCCTTTTTTTTTAATATATGAAAAAATTCTGAGTGTCATGGAAGAGAAATACAACAAGGGATCTCAGTTCTGCTGCCTACTAATGTTTGAGTGATATTAAGCAAGTTCATCTTTATTTACTTGGTTTCTTCATCTATAATATTATAATAATATCTATGTTTTAGGGTGATATACTATTTAATTCAGTATGCAGGTAAGCATTTACTGTAGTGTCTTGCACTTAGCAAATTCTTAATAAATATTAGTTGTTCTTGTTATGTTTGTATTTTGCTTAGGCTGATTAGTTATGGAGTCTTCAATTGACTCTCTATCATCTTGTGCTTATTCTTATTTTCTAATCCTTGTAGGTGTGCCTTGCTTTTGAAGGCCCAGATTCTATCTCATAGCATCTTTTTAAATTTGCCCCCACTGATTACTATCCAGGATATTGTGTATGGATGAGCTCATAAGATGAATCTACTGTCCTGATTCAGATACTCATTCCTGATCCCATCATCCATGAATTTCTAGTGTAAGAAGCATCTGCCACAGACATGCAGGGACATTCTGGGACTCACTAAGTTGCTGGTCATAAGGAACAGCAGCCATTGAACTGCTTAGTCATGTCTGCTTGCAATTGATAAACAGCTGTAAGAGGCACGAGCCATAGGCATACTTAGCAATGACTGGTTACAACTGATAGGGAGCACAGCTCCATAGATATGTGCAGAGAACATGCACAGTTGCAATTACATCACCTCACTGGACACAACCAGTGGACATTGACTTTCACTGGGTTTAATCAATCACCAATGTATACCACTTTGCTCCAAGGACATGGGTGAGACTGGCCATTTGCTCTCCGTCCCTGGACTGACTCCATCAATCCCTGACATCCAGTCATCCCTGGAGAGAATCATCAGATAAGGCAACATCTTCTCATTGACTAAGAGAAGTCATGTGACATCGGAGGCATTTTGGGACTCATGGTTGCCCTAGGATTGTGTGACTTGCTTATAGTGTTTAATTAGTGTGCATTAAATTGTTGGGGTGCCCCAGTACACCCAACACTTTTTGCATTATTGTTTATATTTGATGATTGGTGTGATGGAATATATGCTCACATTTAAAGACAATCCACCTCTGAGTAATTATTAATAGCACCACTTGTGATGCTAGTTAGTAGGATTTCGGGGTAGTTGGGGTGGTTTCCCTCAGAAGGGGTTAAAGCAATGACAAACAGAACTGAAGAGTATATCTTTGTTGAATTTATAGTCTTTCTCCCTTCTCTAAAATTTGATGCTCTCTGCTTTTTCTGTCTTAATATAGTTACCTGTATTGTTAATCAGATGAAGACAAAAGCTCAGAGAGATTTAAAGCAGACTGATCATGTGCCTTTAACAGAAATAAGTCATTTCATATCAAAGGGAAGTGAGTTATTGTTCATATCTTGAGATTTGGGGGACTTTAACATTTTCAGTGAAACGCTCAAGATTTTGGAATTTATCTCTTTTCTAGTCATAAATTTTCTATTTTATTTTTCTATGTACATTGTTTTAAAACTGAAATGGAAAAGCTTATGCTCCTTCTGGAACATAAGCTCTGGAATCCAAACTGAGTTTGCAGGTGAAGTACATATTCCCTTAATCATTACATGATGAGCAGTAATTCATAGCTCATTAACATTTCAAAGTGTACTGGTTAGCTTATGAAGTTACACTAAATTCAACTAAAAATATATTGTAGAATTGCAATAAAGTGGACTGAGTTAATAAAGTGACTTCTGCTTCTGGTCAAGATGAAATAACATCTTAGACTTACCCTTTGAATTTGCCCCTACTGATTACTATCCAGGATATTGGATAGTAAAATTCAGACAAAATAAATGAAACAATAGAACTCAAGACACTGAACATCAAGTAATGTAGGACAATCAATGGTTCCTGAAAGATGGATAAAAAATGAGACCAATCCTCCCCTTGCCCTATTGTATTGCCTGCAGAAAGTTTGCAGGCCCTGGCACAGGTAAAGGGAAACTAGGTTTGCAGAACGGAGAAAATGGAGTCATAGGAGAAGAGAAGTCAAAAAACAAGAAGAGTACTATAGAGGAGAGTGCTTGCATAAAGAAGAAAACAAGATGTTTTCTTGTTTTGAGGGTCTCCCTCAAGCATTCAGTTTAATACTGAGTGTGTGCTAGTGATACTATCCAAAC